GCCACCGACGCGTGGCTGAAGCCTCCGCCGGTGGCCAAATCTGCCTCTTTCCACGCCTGTTTTATTCGGGAAAGGAGGAAAACAATACCAGGGCATTTCAATAAAGCCAGAGGCTCTTACTTACTCTGTTTCAACTCTAGCCTTTGTGGACTATTTAATTCTGGGGCCCAAAATAGCTGCCACTTTGGTGTGTGCAGATTTTTTTATTATTATTAAAAAGAAATTCTACATTTTTAGTGGTTTTACTTTAATGATGGACATTTAAAATGTAAGTAGTTTTCAGTGTATCAAATCGTGTACTATTACATTCGCAGCCAGGACTTTTTGGCGTGTTCGTGGCGCTCATCAAGAAAAAGAAAATGGAGAGAGGTTAAGTCAAGCTTTGCTTTTTTTTTTTCAGTTTCGTTTTTGTTTTATACTTTAATGATGGACATTTAAAATGTAAGTAGTTTTCAGTGTATCAAATCGTGTACTATTACATTCGCAGCCAGGACTTTTTGGCGTGTTCGTGGCGCTCATCAAGAAAAAGAAAATGGAGAGAGGTTAAGTCAAGCTTTGCTTTTTTTTTTTCAGTTTCGTTTTTGTTTTATTTTCTTTTAAAGGTTTTCATTGCATCAACTTTAATTCGACATGCAAAGGCAATCTCCCTTCGGGCTTCGGTTGTACTGGGGCTGCATCGGTATTTCTAGTTTCTACAGCCGATTTATTTTCCTGAAAAACGCTCATGCGGGACATCCCACTAAAGGGGAGGGGTCTTGGACACCCGAGTCCTGGAAGAAGTCTGGGTCCCACCTGGGGTTCTCAAACCGGCTTGGGAGGCCTGGCCTCCTTGGCGGGCACCCGAGGAGCCTGTATCTGCGGAGCCGGGATCTGCCTTTAGCCCTGAGCTCCCTAAAACTAAATAAAATAATAAAACATAAAAGCACGCACTTTTTTTTCTTGTTTCCCTCCCGAAGATAGAGAATTCCAACAACCAGCGCTTCATCCTTAACTTGCCTTGCTCGCTCCAGATCCTGGTCGGCCCTCCAGTCTGCCAGTTGGCTTCTCCCGGTTTTCGTTTGTAGGCAGCATGAGTCCCATTCTCCGGTTGACGCCCAGCCCCAGACAGGCTCCATGAAGTTTCTCTCCCGCGCCGAGTCGGGACAAGCCTTATTTCTCCACATCTGGCCTTTCAGTCGCTGTCCTTGCCCCCATCTGCTGGTGTGTTGCTTCTCTCGCTCCTTCTCCCATCTCGTGTCTCTCAGCTGAGATTCCGTGGTGTTCATAGCAAGGCATCCACGAGAGTGGGCCCAGATCCCTGCACCCCTCGGGGCTGTGGTTGCGCTGGCCGGCCGGAGCTCCGGGAGTCCACCGCGCCGCCAGGAGAGAGCGCAGCGCGCGCAGACTGGGAGCCAGGGAAAGATCGACTAAGGACGTTCCGGAGACGGCGCTAGTTTGCGGTCCAGGAACCCGTGAGGGAGTTAAACGAGAGCGGTGTTCCTTTTCAGGAACGTCGGAGAGCGGCTTGAGCAACTTTAACAGCAGGCTCCCCTGAGCCCGGGAACCCACGCGTGCCTGTAGCCCGCACTGCAGACGCAGATCCCCAACCTATACAAGCTGGCCTCCGGGTTCCTAGGAGTTGCTGACTCGCAGTCTTGGGAGACACATTCCCCACAACCTTCGGTATCTGCTCTGGGTTCTGCAGTCAGGTTTGCAGACGTTGTGCGCACCAGGTGCCTATGGTTCGAGCTAGGCTTCAGGAGCAACTGCAAACCAGCCTAATCCAGGAAGGTGTCTTTGCTGGAAGGAAAGCGCAGCAGAAAACCAACAAGCCCTAAGTCTTCACACATTTCTTTCTCCAAGAAAGCCTGGTGGGGCTGGGCTTAATTCAGTCTTGCCACCACTCCTTCAGATGTCCAAACAACTCTCCGGGACGTAGTCTGGGCGGCATTTAACCTCAAACACACTCACCTCCTTTTTCCCACGATCTCTCAGAATGCTCTTACACACTCAGGAACTTAGTGTAAGGAGTATCATACTTTTTAAGGAAAAAAAAGTGGACATGGGGAGGGAGGGAGAGAGGTGACAAGACAGGGAGTGTAGATTTTTTTTTTAAAGGATAAATCTGCATTGAAAGTAAAACACACCAACGGAGAGAATGGTATTGGTGCAGGTACAGGACAGGCAGGTATGCAGACTCACAGGTTCTGGAGAAACATTGGGTGAAATGTGCAGATTTCACATCTACAAGAAGCTGATGATGGCTGGATCCACTGTGATAGGGAGGCCTCCAGACAAAGAGATGCACTTCATGTTCCTTCTTCAGAACTCCAAGCAAGACCCAGAGTAGAAGGCACCTCAATTATCTGGGCTGTGACAGCTCAAATTACTTCAAAGAAATGGGGGGGGGGTGTCGGGTTTTACTGAGAGGTAAGAGCTGCTGTCCACCCAGAGAGCACAAGAAATACTACATGGGTGCCGAGACTTATGGAGTAGCAGGCTTCAGACCTTCCAGTGGCATT